CACGCAGGCCGCGGCGGCGTCGGAGCCCGTTTGGGGGTCGCGGAGGGCGGCGCGTGAGCAGGCGTGGCGTCTTCCCACGCAGGTGGGCGCCATGCCCTGCTGCTTCCATTTCAGCCCTAGGCCTCTCTGTCTCCGCTTCGTCTTCGCACCAGCTCCAGGGACCAACGTGTTGCCAGTGCTCTCCACCACGTGTTTGTGTCCCGCCCCAGGGTCCCTCGCTGAAGCCCCCGCCCCAGGTGGGCCTCTGGCTCTGTCGCTTTTCTCTAAATAAAGATTCATGTTCATCTGGCCGTCTGTTTCTGCTGTGCGTGCTCTGCCAGGCCGGCCTTTCCCTTGCCCGCTCGCCCACATAGGCGAGAGCAGGCATAATGCCCGTCCCCGCGTCCCCTGAAGAGTCTGGAGAGCGGCTGCAAACGGGAAGCTTGCTGGGGCCGAAAGCCGTGGCTCCTCCGGGCAGAGGAGCCGGACACAGGTGGATCCAGGTGCAAACGCCGCCTGGGTTCCGCAACCCTGCGTGGCCAGTGCCTCGTCCTGGCCGACTCGCCCCAGTCAGCCACGGTGGGAGGAGCTCGCGTCCCCCTTGGCCACTGCCGGGCCCCAGGCCCAGCTGCATCCTGCTTTCATCCACCCAGTGCTGGGCCTGGTTCCCAGGCACCTTACCCATCCAACAGAAGCATGTGACTCCCCTGAGGCAGCCCCTGGTTCCTCCTTCCCGGCCAAGTATGGCCCACTGGTGTGAATGAGAATGAGTGGGGTATGAGGAGTGAGCTCCAACCTGTGGGGGCTAGGAGGGCCCAGCCTTCCCAGGAACTGCATCTCCTGTTTCTGTAGAGCTGAATGGAAGATGAGCCAAAGAGCCACCACACACCCTCAGCCCACTCCCTGCACCGAACTCCATGATGAATGGACTTTGGGGTAGATGGCACCCATCACCTGCCCACCCCTGTCTCTGGTTGTGAGGCCCCAGCCCTGCACCCCATCTTCGTGGAGTAAACAAAAGATGCCAAACTTTGTAAAATGTATATTTTTTTGAGTTGGCGTCTACTCTGTCACCCAGACTGGAGTGCAGTGGCACGCTCCCAGCCGCTGCAGCCTCCACCTGCTGGGCTCTAGTGATCCTTCGCCGCAGCCTTCCAAGTAGCCGGGACTACAGACGTGCACTACCACACCTGGCTAATTTTTTTATTTATTGTAGAGACAAGGTCTCGCCAAGTGGCCCGGGCGGGTCTCAAACCCACGGGCTCGTCTCAAACCCACGGGCTCAGGCAATCCACTCGCCTTGGCCTCCCAAGTGCTGGGATTATAGGCTGAGCCACCGAGCCTGGCTTGTAAAATATTTAAGGTGATTTATTCTGAGCCAAAAGTGAGTGACCTAGGCCCATGATGCCCATCCTCAGGAGGTCCTGAGAATGTGTACCAGCCATTGGTTGGAATGCAGCTTGTTTATCTACATTTTAGGAAGACAGAAGTTATAGAAAGCCAGAAATCAATACACGTGAGATTTACTTTGGTTTGGCTCAGGAAGGTGGTACATCTCTTAAGTGGAGGCTTGCAGATAGTAGATGAATCCAAAGGTATCCTGATTGGCATTTAGTAGCAAGAGTCAGGCTCTTATCTAAGAAATTTTGAAATCAGTAAAGGAAATGGGCAGCTTGAGGACTGAGAGGGAGTCAAGTTTCTCGATATGTAGATGAGGGCTCATGGGTGGCAGACTTCAGAGAGAATAGGTGATATCTTAAAAGGTGCCCAGGGCTCGGAGCGGTGGCTCAAGCCTCTGTAATCCCCGCACTTGCGGAGGCCGAGATGAGAGGATTGCCTGAACCCGGGAGTTCAACACCAGCCTGGGCAACTTGGCAAGACCTCGCCTCTACAAAAAATCATCTGTGCATGGTGGCGCATGCCTGTGGTTCCAGCACTTGGAAGGCTGAGGCAGACGGATCACCTGAGCCCAGCAGGTTGAGGCTACGGTGGCCATGAGCATGCCACTGCACTCCAGCCTGGGCGACAGCATGAGACTCTAACTAAAAAACAATAAACATAAAAAAATTTAGTGACTCATGCCTGTAATCCCAGCACTTTGGGAGGCCAAAGCCAGCAATAGGGAAAGGGCTCTAGTTAGTGCCTTCTGTTAGGCCTTTTGGGCTAACGTGTTCACTGGGAGGGGCACTGTTTTTACAACCTGCGACTGGGTCACTACCGCATAAGCAGCACGCTGTTGTCCATGAATTATCAGGCTACTTTGGTCCATGAAAAGGTCTCAATGGGGTGTGGCAAGCGCCAAGTCCTCCAAATCCGGGTAGCCAGAGCATACTATAGTCTATGTAGTTACAGACTGGGCTATTAGTCTCTTGTGTAGCCAGGAGAGGGACCAGGTTCAGGGTTTATGTGGTTTTCAGAATGATGGCAGGATTGTGCTGCAAAATAGCCTGGTATTTTCCCAATCTTGCTGTCAACCAGTAACCCCCTTTGTGTTTCAGTGGCACTAAAACCCAGTGGGGCCATAGATAGTCATGCTTTGCCTCAAAGTTAGTTTTTTGGTCACCTTTAAAATTACACATGTTGGCCGGGCACGGTGGCTCAGCCTGTCATCCCAGCACTTTGGGAGGCCAGACCAAAGGATTGCCTGAGGCCGGGGGTTTGAGACCAGCCTGGGCAACTTCACGAAACCTCGTTTCTACAATAAATCACAAAAACTAGCCAGGCATGGTGGCGTGTGCCTGTAGTTCCAGCTACTTGGAAGGCTGAGGCAGAAGGATCGCCTAAGCTCCGCAGGTCGACACAGGGGTAGCCATGAGCATGCCACTGCACTCCAGCCTGGGCGACAAGAGTGAGATTTCAACTCATAAAATAAATACATAAATAAAATAAAATAAAATTACACATGTTGCCGGGCACGGTGACTCACACCTGTCATCCCAGGACTTTGGGAGGCCAAGGTGAGAGGATTGACTTAGCCCACAGGTTCAAGACCAGCCTGGGCAGCTTGGCAAGACCTCATCTCTACAATAAATCAAAAAAGTTAACCAGGCACGGTGGCACACGCCTGTGGTTCCAGGTGCTTGGAAGGCTGAAGTGAAAGGATCGCCTGTGCCCAGCAGGTCGAGGCTGCGGTGGCCATGAGCATGCCACTGCATTCCAGCTTGGGTGACAGTGAAACTACTACCCAAAAACAAACAAATCAATAAATAGATACAGATTTTTTTTTTTTTTGAGTTGGAGTCTCACTCTGTCGCCCAGACTGGAGTGAGTGCAGTGGCCGCTCCTGGCCACCGCAACCTTGACCTGCTGGGCTCCAGTGATCCTTCCACCTCAGCCTTCCAAGTAGCTGGAACTACAGGCGCACGCTACCACGCCCGGCTAATTTCTTGATTTATTGTAGAGATGAGGTCTTGACAAGTTGCCCAGGCGGGTCTCGAACCCGCAGGCTCAGACAATCCACTCACCTCAGCCTCCCACAGTGCAGAATTACAGGCTGAGCCACTGAGCCCGGCTAGATACAGATTTTTTAAAAATAGGCTGGGTACAGCGGTTCACGCCTACAATCCCAGCATTTTGGGAGGCCAATGTGAGTGGATTGCCTGGGTCCTCAGGTTCGAGATCAGCCTGGGCAACTTGGCGAGATCTCATCTCTACAATAAATAAAAAATAAGCCATGGTGGTTGCATGTGCATGTAGTTCCAGCTACTTGGAAGGCTGAGGCAGAAGGATCACCGGAGCCCACAGGTCGAGGCTGCAGTGGCTGTAAGCGTGCCACTACACTCTGCACTCCAGTCTGGGTGACAGAGTGAGACTCCAACTCAGAAAGAAAGAAAGAAAGAAAGATAACTGAATTGCTTCCAAGCCATCAGTTGTTTTCTTTTTTTTTTTGAGTTGGAGTCTCACTCTGTCACCCAGGCTGGAGTGCAGTGGCACACTCACAGCCACCGCAGCCT